GAGAGTCCTCTCAGCAGCCTCCCTGTGATGTCTTGACTAGCGCATCTGTATAGTAATGCTCTGAACTCCCAGCCTGAGGCATGCAAGGTGGAGAAAGAAGTGCAGGTTTCACCTCGAAACTGGGAGAGCCCGTGGGCTGGAGTCCTGGCTTCTCCGATGAGGAGCCAGCTGCAGTGGCCACAGGCCCAGCTTCTGTTCCATGACCCACAGCTGCTCCTGACCTCCCTCCTCCTAAGCAAAATCCCTCCAACGTAGGACTCTGACCATGTGAACCTTGCTTCTGTGATGATGGCTCCTTCTTTTTCCCCATGCACAGCTGGGCATATATCTGCAGGGACCAGAGGAAGAGGGGAGCTGGTGAGCTGGGGAGATGGGACCCACATCCTCTTGCCCCAGAGGAAACCAGAACTATTTGTGGGAGATCAGTTTGGGGCTGGCATGCTGTTAAGCTGCTCAGAGCATACAGGAAAGCAAAATAAGATCATTGCCATGTTGCTTTAATTACCTCTTTCCAACATAAGGATACTGTTGCAATGCATCCAAGAAGCCCCTCTGAGAGAAAATGGGAAAATCTGGAAGTTGCCTTCCCAGAACCCTTTCCATCCTCTGCCCACATTCCTAAAGGCCCAGGCAGAAGGCCCATGTATGAAGTAGGCACCGTTGTGGAATGAGGAACCTAGATTCTGGATTAGGGCCACCAGATGAGCAAATGCTAACACGGGCATCTCATTCAACTTGAACATCAGATGAACAGTGAATAACTGTTCTCAGTAAAAGTCTCCCACCTGTGCTACCTAGAACATATTTATACTGAAGATATGACTCGTTTATCTGAAGTTCAAAGTTAGTGGGTACCCTGTGTTTCATGTGGCAAATACATCTTTCTCATCTCTACCAGGAACATCCCCACTCTCATGCCAGAATGAACTGATTTAAATACTGGCTCTGCCAGAGAGTTAGCTTAGCTCCTTAATCTGGAACATGGGTTTAAGTGAATCACTTGACAGGATAGATGTGAGGATAAGGCTGTTGCTGGTGCTAGGCCTTGGGCGAGTAACACCTATGTTACCCTTCAGAGCTCACACTTCCTACCACCCTGGTGATGTTTATGGGAAGCGCTGATGCAGACCTGCCTGTGCATGCACCCCCAACCCAGCCAGGCCCCGCAGGAGACCTGAATTCAGGAGCCCCAGCGCAACCGTTTGGAAGAGGCTCCCGAGGACACTATTACATGCAGTCGAGGATCACAAGGACAGCCAGACAGATGACAGATGCTGAGCCCTGGCCCTGGGCACAGGGCTCCAGAAGGCTCCCTAGATGTTTGCCAAGGAAGTGATGTCAGTCCCTCTACACACTTTGACACCCTGATTCTTCCAGACACGGAGGGGCTGATCCCCGAATGTGCCTGTGCCGCTGGCTGGCTCTGCTGTTTGGGCCAGCCTTTGGTAGCTCTGTGCTTCAGACTCCGTGTCCTCACAGTTGAAGTAGCAGGACTGATTTAGGAAACGCCAGCGCCAACCCTGAGGGTCAGCGCACCCATTCTGCAGATGACAGATTGCAGGCTCCTAGGATGTGTCTTTCTCATGGAACCTCCTGCTTCCAGGTCACATCTGTTTGTGACACCAGAGTATGAGGTGGGTGGGGAGCTAGCCTGGCCCTCGGCCCACAGGGGAGGATGGGAGAGGAAGGGCTTGTGATTGAGGTGGGGGTCCACGGAAGTCCAGGCTGGGGAATGTGCTCCCATCTTTCCTGGGGTGGCAAGGAGAACTGGATAATTATTCTCTGGTTTCACCTATCTCCACTTACCACAAGAGTGAGCAAGATGCCACACCTTCCTTGATGACTTTGTTTTACTACTTTGCAGCCAAATGGCCTGTTGAAAGGGGAAATATTAAACCAAAGAATATTTTATAACATCTTCAGACTATATCCTTTTGTATCATGCCTTACATTTTTTCTATCTCCCAGTCACATACACAATTGCACACTATGTTAGGTCTTGATGTTCAAGACTTAAATCACATGTTTAAAACTAAAATTCATCTTGTACAATGTCTGAAATGTCCATTTTAGTATGCTATTTATACTCTTATCATGCTAAAATTAAATGTATAAATTTAGATTTCTTAAGGTAATGTTTTTAGAGTGCCACCTAATGCTACCTTATCATTTACACACTAGAAAATTGCTGTTTGATGAAAAGCTTCAACCTCGTACTAAGGTCCTTTTGGAAAGGACCATCCAGTGAACTCCAAAGTCATCCACTAAACAACCTGGCTGGTCATCAGAGATAATAACACACTGGGGCCATAAAGATGCACCTGCCTTTTTAAGTCAACGGCCAGACCCTTGCCTACCTCCCACCTTGAACTCTGTGTCCCTGAAGAATACTGAATATGGGAGAGGCGAGATCTCACAAGGCAGGGGGAACTGCTTTGCACTTTAATGGGAATAGGAGCACCTTAGCAGAAAAAGAAAAGCAGGACACTTTAGGCAGAGACAGTGGCATAAGCAAAAGCCAGAGGAGAAAGGGTGGTGGGCTCTGTCGGCCTGGATTTGGGGTCATCCCTGTGTCTGAGCATAGAATCAATCTGGGCCCAGATTATTCATCTGTACAGAGTTTTAAATTTAAGTAGCTTACCAACTGAGACTTGTGGAGACTTCATCTAAACTGCAGGTCCTTGACTTTAAAATCCTAACTCCCTGCCCGGTTTTTCACAGCACCTAGTAACTTCCATAGATGACGTTCTTAATAACTTGCATTCAGTGCCTTTTCCTTTCCAACCTGGTTCCCCTTTCCCCAGGATGTTAGCATCTGGAGGGAAGGTTGGTTTGTTTTTTAGGGGAGGGATGCTTTCTTTACTATAATATATCAAACACTAGCCCTTGTCTGGCACACAGTAAGTGCACAATAAGGATTTTAACAGCTAAAGAGAGTGGAGGATGCTGATGGCTCCCACAGTCTGTCCTGGGCACAACGTGCTGCGAGGCCAGGCTGAAGGCCTTGGTCCCTGACCCTCCCAGTGTCTCCCTATGGCTGAAGGTGCAGCAGACAGAAAGAAAGCAAGTTCCAGACTTTGGTATTTGATTTGTCCAGACTTGTGGGTGAGAAAACGCGTGGTGAGTCCCGCAGAATGCCAAACTCTGTGGTAGCCCCTCCTTTCTGCTCTCCGGATTTATGAAGTAGTCAGGTTAGCGCTCCTGGCTTTGCAAGATTTCCAAAGCGGCCACATTATGATCCACCCCTACTGCAGTGGCAGAAAGGAGACATGGGGGTCGGGTACTTTGTCACTAGAGGGCGCCCGAGCACAACTGCCGCGCTGTATCTTGCACGCATCGCTGCAGGACGCTACGGATCAGCCCAGCTTCAGAAAGAAGGAAGGTGGAGGCTGGAGGATACTTGAGAACTGTTTTTTTTTTTTTTTTTTGCCCTCGGACTGATAGCTTTTTAAGGACGGGGACCAAGCCAGTGGGGTTTCAGGTGCCCAGAAGTGGGTTTGACCCGCGGTGAATGAATGAATGAATGAAGTGCAGGTTCAAAGTGCACCTAATTGGGGGTGGGGTGGGCGGGGAGATAAGGCAATGGAGAGGGAGCAAAGACCAGACAAAGAAACTCATCCCCACTTCCGGAGTCTAGGAGCTCTGGAAGTTTCTGCTTCTTGCCCATTTCTACATTTCCCTGCTTGGGTGTGCCTGCGGGTCACCCGGTTACCCGATGGCCAGGGCTCAGGGGCTCTCTGGGGATAGAGACCTGGCCTGCCCCGCACACCCTGGAAGTGGGTTCGGGCTTCATAACATTGTGTGGCAGGAAAACGCGGGGAGGGACTGAAGATGGGAGCGACTGGACCCCAAAGGCGCCCCTCTCACACCTGCACCTCCCAGGCCGCTGGCTCTGCTCATGCTTTCTCCGGGTATCCAGGTTGGGTGCGGGGGCTTGCCAGGAGGCTCGGAGGCCCAGAGCGGACTCTGTGGATATAGTTCTCTGGACCAGAAAGGCTCAGGTGCACCCACCATCCAGGGAGAATGGAACACGGCAGGAGAGGAAGCAGAGAAACGGACTTTTTTTTCCTTAAGCCTTTTTGGTGACACATTCATTGCACTGAGGGCAAAATGACTTAAGTTTAACAAATCATTTCAGGCATCCATGTCCTGAGTACAATATGTCAACCTGTCATATAATGAATACTGTGTCAGCCTCCAGGCTGAGTACTTTGCGGCGGTGGGGAGCGGACTCTCCGGCAGTTCCCTGTTCCTCTGGTGAGGTGGGAACTCTGATTTGCCTGTTTCACAGTCGAGAGAACAGGGGTACAAAGGCTAAGTAAATACAGTTTTCTAAGAGCCTTCGGGGCTAACTGCTTTGTTTTCTTCTCTCGGCAAAGCATCCTATTTTAGAGACCCGATTTTACGGGTGAGGACACTAAGGCTTAGGTTCGGCTAACAAAGACGCGCAGGCTTGGAATCTGAGTCTCGCTGACGCGCGAAGATCTGCGTCCCGCTCTTAGGCCAAGCCCTCGGGCTTCTGCCCCACGAGTCTGAACCTCAGCTCCAGGTCCTGGGCTCAGAAAACTGGACGTCTCTAGCTACTTCGGGACGCCGAGGGTACAGCGGCCCTAACCCCTAGGATCAACTAGTTTGTTTTTTTTCTTAGTTCTCATTTAGTTCCGGCCTAAGGGGCTGAATCTCTCCATCTGCGTAAACCGAAGGCAACCAGCCCCCCAGCCTGGCTCCCTGGTGGCTGGCTTCTTCACTGCAGGTCCGACCCGCGGAGCCCGGCCCGCGGAGCCCGGCCCGACGGAGCCTGGCAAGGTCAAAGGCTGGCAGGCACTGCATCCGGGGAGCACCCAGGGCGCAGAGAGGCGGCGGGCGGGAGGGGACGCGCGTCGGAGCCCGGCCGCGGCGGGGATTCGGCTCCGAGCCCGCCCCTGGCCGAGCGCCAGCCCCGCCCTCCCGCTCTCGCCTCTAAAGTGCCCGGCGCGCGCCTCCCGCCGCCGCACTTTCACTCTCCGCCGCTGTGTCGTCTCCGCCACCGGCCTCCGTCCCCTCGCCACTGCCCGCCCGTGCCATGGATGCCAAAGTCGTCGCAGTGCTGGCCCTGGTGCTGGCCGCGCTCTGCCTCAGCGACGGTGAGTGCCCTAAGCGCGGAGCTGCGGGGAGGGCGCCCGGCTTCTTGCTCGGTGCCCCCGGGCAGCGATCTGCCTGCGCCCGCGCCGCTCCGCGTGAAGCCAGCCCGTGAGACTTTGGTTTGGTTGGGAGCTGGAGGCGCCTCACGCTCAGGTGCTCTCCCACGGGCTGCGGGTTTGGAGCTCCCCGCGGCGCCACTCGCTCAAACCTCCGCCCGGCGCTGCGCCGCAGGACCGCGGAGCTTGACCAGACCTGGAGCGCACGCCGGCGCGGAGGCGCGGGGCCGCTGGGTGAGCGCGGGCTGAGGTGCGCTCCGAGCCGGAGCTGGAGGGCACCGGAGAGTGGGGCCGAGTTCAGAGACGCGGGCCAGCTGCCCTGACCGGCCCACCCGGCAAATGGTGCTTCTCGCGCCCACTGGGTCTCCCGAGGCCAGTGGGCACAGCGGCAGCGCTACGCCTGGTGCTGGAGGAGCTGCTGGTGGTTCACGTGGGAACCGCGCTTTGTAAGCTCCCTGGCACCGACGCTCGTCGCGCCGGTGTGGTCGGGTGCATGCACGCCGTCTCCAGCACGCCTCGCTGGTCGGCCCCCTGCCCCGAAGCTGCGGGCCTCCGCCTGCGTGCGAGCCTGGCGGTGCAGCTGTCGGGTTTGCGCCTCCCGCCGAGCCGCGCTTCTGCACAGCTCCGCAGAGCGCAGCGACGCGGGGCAAAGCCGGGCGCACATCCAGTCATTGCAGCGCAGCATCTTTCCCCGGATCACCTAAGAGATTCCAGGGTGCCCGCTGAGTCGCTTCTGACCCACCCCTGCCTAGCCCCAACCACTGCAGAAAGGCGTCTTTGTCACCTACCGAACCAGTGGTGGGGGGAGCACTTAACTCCACAAAAGCAGTTCAGTCACCAGGGCTCTAAGCCATTGGTAAGGTGGTGTCCAGTTTCACTGGGAAATCTTCCCCCCCTCCCCTTTTGAAGCTTAAGAGAAATTTTGATGTCCTGTTACAGGACACCAAAATAAACCGTGGTCTCGGAACACAGAACAAAACTAAGTCAAGCTAAGCTTTGCAACAGAGTGCACCAGGGCAGCAGGACACTGTTGTGCTCTTGCTGCGACCCTGGCCTGTGCAGGTCCAGCACCTCCCAAGATCCAGGTGCTGGACCTGCATAGGTCGCAGCAAGATTAGCTTGCAGCTTGGGGCTCCTTGCAGCTCAGGCCCGCTGCTGCCTCCTCGGTTGCTGTGGGCAGATCTTAGCTGAGTGGGGTGAGCATGCATAAGGCGGCCCCAGGCCTGCTTGCAAGGCTAACAGGGGTTCCCAGCTGATGCCCTGGAAACTGTTCTTAAAATGTAGCAAGTTGCTGGTCAGAGCTGCAGAGTTACCACTGTAAGTGTGATTAGGAATTTGTCTCCTAACTGATAAAGTATCCTAGGTTGGTTTCGTATCCAGCTGTTTCTACAGGTCCTGAGGGACACTCTCCTGGGGGTATTAACAATTGAGTCATGGTTTGGTGAGAGTGCAGGTGACTTTTTGCACTACTTGGGGGAAGGGTGCTGCCCTTGGTTGTCCTTCCTCTGGGGACCTGCAGAAAGGACTGGAATGCTGTGACCCAGATCCTTCAGTCTTGGACATAACTGGCCTGGGGGCAGCCCAGGAGTGTGTCCTCATCCACAGATTCTGGAAGGATTGGTTGCTTGCCCTTAGAGTTGCCTTCTGGCAACCAGCTGGCTAGGTGAGAGTGTGGGTGCAGCCTGGTGGTGCTCTCCTTACAAGCCTGGACCACAATGCCCTTTTTGATCTCTGGGAGCCTGTTTGCCCTCTGGCTCCATTCCGAACCCCAGAGTCTGCATTCTGGAGAACCCCTGGCGCAGGCTCCAGCTCCCACTGTCTCTCTACTGGTTGACCTGGGCCAAACAGTTGGGACCCTAGATGCTCTGGGCCTCTAGGAGTTAACCCTGGAGTGGGGTCCATTCCCAGACCTGGCCAGAGGGAACCCCTGCCTCATGTTCCAGTGGAAAGTTCTCTGGGAACTGCTCCAGACCAGAGCTGAGTTCATCAAGTCCTAGCCACACACAGCATGTGTAACATCTGGGCCAGTCAGACTTCTTGCCTATATACAGAGTCACAGCTAAACATTTGGAAAGTAGTAATAGTGACCAAAAATGGAGAAAAAGGCACCATGTGGACACAGCATGGCTTTCTCTGCACTTAGGGTTCTGACACGTTGAAAGACCTATTGAAATTCACCCTTTGATAGGCAGGCAACTGGGTCCTGGGAGCTGGAATAAGAGTTGCCTTTGAAGGAAATGGATAATCCCAGCGGCTGAGAGGGGAGAGGAAAAAAAGAGAAAGCCAGTGTTTTGAGCTCAGAATGGGCTCTGATTTCTGGCCTGATCTCTGCTGTTGGGTTAGTGGAGCCAAAACAGCTTCTTCTCAGGGACCTGGAGCACAGCAGCCTGCAGGGTCACACATTGTCCCTTCTAGCACCCCATTGCCCTGAGCTTGGGGCCCCACCTGCCACCTTTTGGGCCCAAATACTCAGGTCCAGCTCAGCTCAGGAGAATTCCAGGGAAATTAGAGACAAGACGCTCACAGAGGAGACCCTCTCCTCCATTACCGTGGCTGCCAGACTGCCCACCAGCCCAGCTTGCCCAGGTGATCTGATTACCGGAAGGTTCCAACAGCTGCTGGCAGTTGACTCCTCAGGGACTTTCTGGAGGTCCCTGGGTCTGGTGTAGAGGGAACATATGCCCCCTGTGCCCCTACAGTGCCTGAGTCAGGGAGCACCTCCAAACCAGGCTTTCTACTCTGGTTTGCAGAGAATGGAGTTGGGGGGGGGTTTCCTCCACACAGGTAAGGAAATGGGCTACTTACTTCTGCTGTGCCATCCTGAAGTCAGTGCAGCCTTTTAAAAAAGTGAGCTCTTCTCACTGGTTTCCTTCTGCAGCTTCTCTAGCTTTCTCAACAGTACAGACCCTCTGAGCCACCAGGCGGCCTCTTAGAGTTCTGTAAACAGAAAACTATTATTTTTTTAAATCTCTGGACTAAATATTCTCAGACATATATTTAATCCCTGATGAAAAGGTCCGCAAATTCAAATAATTTGTGGTATTAAGTAGGACTTGGATAAAACCCACAGAAACACACACACACACATCCCAGCCCCCCAGGGCTTGCAATTCTAGACTTAAAGGGTGAGACTTGGGTTCTGCAGGAGCCCTTTGCTAATTTACACTAATGAGTGTCAATTATGGCATTTTGCAAATTGGTGAATTGGCAAACAAAGATGTAATACAACCCCGGAGGCTGTAGCATCCCTGTACAATGAAAGCCATATTTGACTCCAGCCCTCCTAAGCTCCACACCTTAATGCGGGGGGAAAGCTGGCCTCTGGGCCTGCCCTCTGAAGATTCCTTTGCTTTGTGGTCACTTGGGTTTAAGGTGAATGAGAGGTGCAGAGAGGTGGCTGGGGTGGGGGAGGGCAGCTGCCCTGGGTTGCTACCGAGGCTCCTAGCTGGAGCCATGCCAAGGAGGGGAGGACCCAGAGCCTGGGTCCTCTTCCCCTCCCCCTTCTCTGAGTGGGGAGGTCCCTCTCAGTTGCTTCTGGCGAAGTTTATTTTGCAAAGAACTGGAATCCTCAGTCCTTGGATTGAAAGGTTATCTTTTATCTTGAGATACCTGAGCTGGAAACGCTCCTTTCAACTGCCCCACCCTCCTGCCGATCCTTTGTCCTCTGGCCCTATAGCAGCTGAGTGTGAGCACAGGCAAAGCTCACTGTGCTGCTTGAAGAGGTCTTGGCCAGGATGACGCCCCATGCCCACTCATGCCCTGGCTTTTGCTCCGGTCTCATCCCACTTTATTATCTCTGGGAGGCAGTCCCAGGTACATGCATATTTCCAAGGCCTGATAGGATAATAAGTTGCCTTGTTCTCATTACTTCTAGGGAAACCTGTTAGCCTGAGCTACAGATGTCCCTGCCGATTCTTCGAGAGCCATGTTGCCAGATCCAACGTCAAGCATCTCAAAATCCTCAACACTCCCAGCTGTGCCCTGCAAATAGTGTAAGTCTCATCATCACCCTCCAGGGATGTCGCATCTGGTGGGCACAGTGACCCCTAACTCACAGACTTGATGAAGCCAGAGTGATGGTGTATGGCCATTGTCCAGCAACAGCCTGGCAGTAACTAGAGGCAGTTGTTTCAGCCTTTGACTTTGCGTCTACACCAGAAAGTACTCCTGGGTGTACTGCTGAGCTCAGTGGACCTGTCTCTTCTTCTTCTTCTTTTTTTTAATATTTATTTGTGTATACAGAACTGGGGTACAGGCCAGAAGTACAGAGTGGTGAGAGGATTTGCCATAGACAGAGTGGGGAGCAGAACAGGCAGATCAACAAAGTACAGTGCTGAGGGTGAGACAGGAGAGGTCTGCATGCCATGTGGGTCAGCTCCCTGTCTGGGGATTGAACTGGCGTTGAAGCTGCTGAGGTCAGCTTCATAGTGCTGCTTTTTAACCTGTTGCACCACCAGGGAGGGTCTTGTCTTCTTTCCAAGCTTCCTCCTGTCAGCTCAGAGGCCTCCTGCCTGGAGGGCCACAGCCTTCTGCAAAGTGTCTGCCCAAGCCCAGTAAATTGGCCAGACCTTGCTGGTAGTGGTTCTGTCTGGGTGAACGATTTCAGGGCTTTGGTACTTTGAATTAATTCTTTATCACATCACACCAGTTCATAAGGCCCAAATTCAGCTATAACCATCTTTAATCACCTTTCATCTCAAAATTCTCAGCTCACTTAACTGCATTTTCTCACACACAGTACAAGTTTCTGTTTTTGCTGGTATTGATGGCAGCTGCTAACATCTGATTTCATTTGTGTGGGAAGGGAGACAAACCAGAAGGGGCACGCAAGACACACAGAGCTCCCTTGCTGGAGGCACAGGGCGGCCGTGGTGTCCAAGAAGACACACAGGCTGCTCCTTGCCCGGCCCCTTGCTCGGGGTGGGGGGTGGGAAGAGCTTGCGCTCTGTCTGTGGTCCATGTCTGATGCCAGAGAGGGGAGGCACAGGGCCTCTTGGGGGAGCTCACTGCTGACAAGGGCAAAGGGCACGGCAGTTGGCATAAAAGCCAAGATGTGGGGGCCCTCCCCAGTAGCACAGGGGGTTAGAGTGCAGCACTACAAAGCTAAAGCCACTGCAGCACCAGTTCAATTTCCAGCCAGGGAGGAGATGCACATGGCACAGCAGACCTCTCCTGGCCCGCCCGCTGCTCCCCTCAACACTATACTTTGTCGATCTGCCTGTTCTGCTCCCTACTCTGTCTCTGATGAAGCCTCTTACCGCCCCCTGCACCTCTGGCCCAGTTCTGTATGCATAAATAAATAAATCTTTAAAAAAAAAATGCCAAGCTGCTCTTAGGTTTGACGTTTTTGTCCCTTTTTGGGTAGTCTTTGCTGTCTTGAATGTGCTTATCACCATGCTTAGGTCTCTGTAAGAGGATTTTTTTTTAACTTATTTTGATTACAATAATCACTATTTCTCCCTGGAGGTTCATTTATCAGATAGGGTACTTAACTAGCAGGGCCTGCTTTCCAGTGCAGACCAGGCTAGTTCCCTTCACCCAGAGACGTACCTCGAAGTTGAAGATGCCACATATTATCTGGGCAGATAGAATTAATGAGCAGTGGGACCTAGATTTGGGCCTAAGCCCTTCTTGCTCCAAGCCACGCCGCACCATACATGTCAGTCACTGCACCCCTCAGCATGGCGACTCCTGTGGCTCTCCCTTAGTCTCTGTTCGGACCCTGGTTCTCCTCATGACCAGAGTGTCTGGGCAGGGAGTCCTCATGCTGCTTGAGGTTCCTGGTGCCAGGATCCCTGGTGGAGGGGGAGCTGGAGATCTGGGAAGTCCAGGTCCTCTCCTGGGAGTTTTCAAGCAGGAGAAGTGTAGGTGGCGGAGAGAAGTGGGAGGAAGTACAGCACTACTTTCAAGACACATATGAGACTGTGGGGTCTTCAGTGGACTCGTTTCTGGAAAGGAGTTTCTGGCAAATTACCTACATTAGCTCTCCTGGCATGTAAACCACCTTCCCCTCGCTGCGCCCACCCCTGCCCAGACTGCCGTAGCACCTCTATGCGGGCCGTCTCCAGGCTGTCTGTCCTCCAGGCACCATCAAGAGGATACTTCAGAGTGAAAAATCTGTGCCTCCCTAGTTTCAAATCCTCACAAGTGCGTCTAATCTTGTAGGTGAAGCCCCACCCCATGTCCCTCACTTCTGCTTGTTGCGCCCTTGTCTCCCCCTTCTCCTTCCCCCACCCCACAGCCCCCTTTCTATTTGGGGTATGTGCTCTTGTTTCTCCTCCCCCTTTACTTCACTTGCCAGCTCCTACTTACCCTTCCGAGGCAGATGTGCCCTGTGGGGGCCCCCCCCCCCTACTCCGGTGGAGGTGCTTTCACTGTGTGGGACCTCTGCCCTGGGACTTGCCACCTGGCTGGCTTTGTGTTCCCAGCAGGGGTCCCCCTGAGCCTGAACCTGCTGGGAAGGGCAGCTGGCACCAGCGAGGGGGCTGAGCGGGCACACAGACCCAAGCAAGCGGTGCCCCTGGGCAGCTGCACACTGTGGTCTCCTCTCTCGACAGGGCAAGACTGAAGAGCAACAACAGACAAGTGTGCATTGACCCGAAATTGAAGTGGATTCAGGAATACCTGGAGAAAGCTTTAAACAAGTAAGCACAGCAGCCAGGAAGGACTTTCCACTAGATCACTTGAGGAAAGCTAAAACCATATGGGAGAGGGAAGGGCAGAGGAGCTGGGAGGAAGGCCTGAGGGTGACCGCGTGTGTCTGTGGGTGGCGCACTGGCCTGGGAACGGGCGTGAGGCTTGCCCAGCATGTAGACAACTGCATTTATAGCATATGGTACGATATTACAGCTTGTATTCATCCATGCCCTGGACCCTTGCGTATTGGCTGTTTTATAACTGGGGTTTTTCTAAGACATTGTATTATCCCGCTGCCATCTTCCACCAGTCAGTTCCCTCCTGATCATCATAATCATCACCACTTTCATTTTCCTAATTTTAAATCAACAAGTACTTCAAGATGTGTATTTGGTTTGTTTTGGAGCTTTTCTTTCTTCCCCTGGGGAGTCTGGGCACAGTCAGGTGATGGTCTAGCATGCAGCTCAACACAGTGTCCTTCCTCCACACCTTGATGCTTGGAGGAAGATGGTGGGTGGCTATGGCCAGAGCATCCCTCTGGAATGATCGCTGGTACTGACCACGCCGGGCAGCAGCCACCCCATTTGCCGCCTCTTTCAAGCTCTGATTGGCCATGTAGCCTCCTTGTAGAAGCCACTGTGACCAGGGACTGTGCTCAGAGCCCCTGTCCTGGTGACCCTCTGCCCCCTGCCTCCATGAGCATGCGTTCCTCTGCTTCTGCTTCTCATTCCTGTGCGCACCCAGTCTGCCTGGGAGGAGGGAGGCGGCTGGGTCCAGCCAGCCCTGAGCCCTTCTTCTCCCTCTGCTCTGCCCTCCTGCTCAGGCCCTCTGTGAGATCCTGCTCTGGCCTCCTCTCGAATGTGGCTGCCCCTTCTGGGGGGCATGAGGTCATGCTTCCACCTTCCCACAAAAGACAAGTCTTTGTAGAATCAGATGCAATTTTCAATCTGATTGCAACTTTCCCTCCTGAAAGGGTTTGTTTTCAGGAGTTTGATTTCTGTGATTGCCTCTGAAGTAGGCCGTGGAGGCTATAGAAACCCTGTGGTTTCTGGCATCAGAAATTAAAAGATAAAAGAGTAAACAAGACTCTTGCCACTCACCCTCCTCTTGAAGCCACACCAGCGTTTCAGGTTCCAATCAGAAATGCTGGCAAGATGAAATTTCCATGCATTAATGTGATCCACAGATGGGCCTGCCTGGTGGTATTTGTAACTTTTTGCAAGGCGTTTTTATATATATTTTGTGCACATTTTTTAAAAACATTTCTTTAGAAAAACAATGTATTTCAGAATATATTTATAGTCGAACAATTCATATATTTGAAGTGGAGCCATATGAATGTCAGTAGGTTACAATTCTCTATTATCTGAAACTACTGGCAATTTGTAAAGAGATATCTATGATATATAAATGTGATTGCAGCTTTTTAATGTTAGCCACAGTGTATTTTTTCACTTGTACTAAAATTGTATCAAATGTGACATTATAAGCACTAGCAATAAAATGCTAAATGTTTCATGGTACAAGTCTCCTACTGTATGTGGGAATTTATTTACCTGAATCAAAGCCGTGCTGGTGAGCCGTGCGGCTCGCGTGCCTTCCTGGAGTCCGTGCAGGTGAGCCGAGCCGGCCTGCAGATCAGTTATCCTGGTCCCTGCTGCCAAGTTCACGTGTGAGCCACAGCTCAGGGCCTTGCTCAGGAGCAGAGTTGCTCTGCAACTTCAGTTTTTGCATCCTGGTTTTTGTTTTTGTTTTTCACCTAATCTCAGCAGTGGTGCTAGTATTCTGAAGAATATTTGACTCACTAATTCCTCTTCCCCTTCCTCCTCCTCCTTGGTTCTCCTAACTTCCCCATATAATCTCCAGAGACTCAACCCTCATAATACCCAGCTTTCACATTTTCCCATGTAAAAATTCCATAATTCCAGGCCATGGTTAATATCCAGCTTTCTTTAGGAACAGGTGGCTTTACCCCATAAATCATTAAATACCATTCAGCTTGAATCATTTTAATGTGACAGTCATGAGCCAGTTGCTCTAATAAAATTCTGCTAACCAACCCTTTCCCTTGCTCTCCAGAACAATCCCAGTCATTCCCAGGGGCTGTCCACCGGCATCCAGAAAGGAGGAGGTGGGGTCCCAGCCCCCCTCTTTCTCCTCTCCTGGATGGCCAGCTGAACCTTGGGTCTCCAACCTCCAAAGCATATTTGACTTGGAATGCAGAGATTTTTTGTTTGTTTGTTTTATAATCAAATAGCATGTTGGGCTCTGCATTGAGATGGAGGAAGTGGAGAAGAGCAGATGGGGTCAGAGAGATGAGTCCAGCTGGCCCCCCGGATGCCTTCAGACCCTTTTACCTGTGAACTGCTTGGCCCTCAGGAAGCCTCAGACAGCAGCAGGGAACAGCCCCAAGGTGGCAATAGCTGTAACCAGAGGTTGTGGAAGTCTGTCTCCTGTCTAGCATTTTCTCGAATGCAGGAAAATGTCTAATTTATTTTAGAAGTACTGACAGACAGTCTTTGCCCAAAGGGTATCCAGGCCAAACCTGAGGACAGGTACACGGAGACATGGGCTCAGGGTTAATGCGTGCAGACTGACACAGGCACTTGTTTATTGCAACATTATTAATGGTTCTACTAATTTTATCTAAGGGGGCGCAGAGAAGAAAAAGTGGGGAAAAAAGAAAAGATAGGAAAAAAGAAGCGACAGAAGAAGAGAAAGGCTGCTCAAAAAAGGAAAAACTAGCTATCTGCCACCTCCAGATGGACTGCAGTGCACGCTGCTCTTGTCGCTGCCGGCGCTTTGTAAATTTGCTTTGACCCTCCTCAGGGCACACTCCCTGCCCGTTGTGGGGGACACTCAGACCTCCAGAGGGGAGTGGCACTTGGCTGCCCCCGGGACCACACTGGCTCCTGTCTTTATGTGCTTCTCATGGCTGTCTGGCCTGCTAAATTCTGAAGAAAGTAGTTGTGCGGAGGCGGGGATGGGATGTGACTCAGAGACTGTGTGCTCTGGGCTGGTCTTGAGGGTCTCCAGTGTCAGCCAGGCTGCTGAGCCCCTCCCCGCTCTCCACTCCCTCTCTTAGAAGCCCAGGATGACTGCAGCTCGCACAGCTCCACACACTCCCAATCTGCATTCCTGACTGCGACCAGAGTGTGGCCCTGGCCAGTGCTCAGAGCAGCCAGTGCACACAGTGGCCAGCTCACCCGCCTGCACAGGCGCCTTTCCAGCAAGGGGAGTGTCCTGAGCCCCCTCCTTCCAGGCCACCAGCACCGTCCATCATAGACTTCACGGGCAGAGTTGGCTGGGCATTGGCGGTGACTCCTTTCCCCAGGTCTGTGGCCTGGCCCTCCACCTCTCCCCCTGGGGGAAGGGTTTCTCCAGCTCCTTCGTTGAGCCTGGGCTGTGGAGAGCTTTCTTCCAAGAGGGATAGATTTCTGCAGACCATATGGGGGGGAGAGGGAGCTCTGCATTCCTAGAGAGTGGATGTGGCATTGCTTCTCAGGGAACCTTCTCTCCAGGCAGCTCACTCTGTAGGTTGTTTTACACAGGTCCTCCTGCCGAGGAACTGTGAGGAGGACCCTCGGCACTGGGGACTCCTTCCCTACCCCTTGGCCGCTTCAGCTGGGAGTCTCCATGATCTTGTGCTATTAGGTTCTGGGATACAGCTGCCTCAGGCCTCACACATGGGACATGTCTGCTTAAAGTGAAAGGAGTTTACGTTCTCCCTCACCCCCTCTCTGTCAGATTTATGCCTGAGATTTCTTGCCAGGTCTCTAATTTGGAGCGGAGGGAGGGGGATCATGTGAGCCAGCAAGGCCCTGATTTTAGTAGAGCTTTGCAAAAGGACACTCTGAATATCTGGATGCTCCCGTCACCCTCCCTTCACACATAAACACACACTCACCCTGCCCCCGGACCCGGTCAGAATTGCAGAGCATGGATGCAGAAAGATGAAGTGGCTGGAGGACACGGAACAGATGGATTTTGGGAGAATAAAACCCCCAGCCCCTGCTTGTTAGACTCACCTGCGCCCCCTCCTTTGTCCCCATGCTCATTGCTGGTCCCCACTGAGGTGCCCCCCACCCCCCCAGATGGCTCTGCAGTCAGAGACCTTTTGTTTCCCACTGTCATCCCTTTTGTCTGGCTGACTCTTGTCAGCCCCCAAGATAGCATCTCCGGGGGTGTGTGGGTACCCACCTTACCCTGCCTCCTCCACCTTTGACAGCATCTGGATGTTTGCTGGACTGCCCGGGGCACCCGTCCTTTCTGTGGGAGCCAGCACGGTTCTGGTTTGAGGGACCTTGGCGGGGAAATACTATTCTTGGAAAAGCACCCACAAGCTCCGACCTGTGGCCTACACTGTCCTTCACCTTCATGCCACAGAGCAGCGGGACTCTGTGCCTGTGGCAGTGGCCGGTCCATGCTGGGCACCAGGGAGAGTTATGTGTCCTCTAGCAACAGTGGGTGGAGTTTGCTGCCCCGAGGTAGCAGACTGCTATGGTGTCAGGGTAACAGCGCCTCCCTCTCATCTGGCGGCTCCTGGCTGTGGACACTGAGAGAGTTGGTCCATGTTGAAAGCCACAGGCCAGCTTGTACTGTGTCCTCTGACCACTGGCCGCAGGACTTGCTGTGTCTGGAAAGCGGGGAAACCTCAGCCCTGCTGAAGATGGTCACTGAAGACTGGGTCCCCTTGGAAGAGTCAGAGCTGGACCTCCAGTCCATTGTGGGTTGAAACTAGCCAGTGCCTGTACCTATGCTGGCAGGTGAGGGGTACAAGGTGTGCTGCCTCTGCCCATGCCTCCAGCCCCAGGGCCTCCCGAGGGGAGTGGGGTGAGTATGGGTGGTGGGTGGAGGCAGTTGGTGGGAGGCACTTGGTGTGAGTTTGGGCTGCATCTGCCGGGGAGGTCAGCAGCCCAGACCCCTGTGCGGGACCAAGGCCGTGCACCCTGTCCTGTCCTGTCCTGACCAGTGTGCCAGGCGTCTGCGTCCCTCGTTTGTGAACCACGCTGTGCTTGCTTCTGTCTTCTGTGCTTCTGCCTTCCATCGGCCCTCGCTTCAGCCATGGCTGCTCTCCACCCTCCCCTGCCCAGGGCTCCGGAAAGGAGAAGAGACACCGGTCACGTGCCGCGGCGACCGTGAAGTCAGGAGTGGGAGCCCCACGGAAGCGGGCTCAGCATCTCAGGCGTGTGACCGGCCGCTGTTGGAACTCGCCTTAATGGTGTCTCCCTCTGTTCTTGTTAACAGGAGGTTCAAGATGTGAGAGGCGCAGGTTGGGTCAGACGCCTGAGGAACCCTTACAGTAGCACCCTGGTCTGAAAGCAGTGTTAGGAAGGGCTGGCCCCAGGCCCCCAGGCGGCCCCTGTATTTCCACGGGCTTTGTTTTGCACAGTTTTCCTTCCTTTCACCATTTAATTATGTAGCAAAAATATTATGGTGTTTATTTTGCATTTAGCTTGATTATCCAATGTCACTGGTGACAGATAGGAACTTAAGCTAAGACTGTTATTTTACTTGTTCTATTATAATGCCTTTCCCATGGAGCCCCTGGTCTGTCCAGGACATCCAGAGTTTTGTATTTCTCTAGCTGCTCTGGCTGGGACCCCTGATTGAGGGACCCTGGCCCACATTACCAAGTCCTAGGACTGAGAGCCACCCGGAGGGGTCAGGACCAGTTAGCAAGGGCCAACCCGGGCACCTGGGGGCTTCCCTGAGCTGGGGCCGGGGGAGTGTGAGGCCAGGGGAGGGCGAGATGCACCCCTCATCCCACGCTCTCCTCTACATCCCATCACGTTCTCCTCATCATTCTCTCTCTCATCCATCATCATGTGTATCCAAGACTGTCTCCATGATCCTGGAAAAAGACTCTCTCAAGACCAAAGCTTTCATTTAAACTTGGACCAAAGCTTCCATTTAAACTTGGCACTAAGAAGCAAATCACAATGTCTCATGTTCCCAGGTCCTGAAAACACTGTGCAGCTGTGTCTTGTTTGAATACTGTCTGCCCATCCCGCGTCCTTGTTCAGAGTCACTGTCTTGTGTGCATGCGCGGTCAGTTCCTGGTATGCAAAGGCTGGGAGTGAGGAGACCCCTTGGGGTATTGGGCCAGGCTTTGACCTGATAGGGAGACCTGGGTTTCCCCACTGACCACAGGCAGAAGGGCCAGCAGAGCCCAAGGGGTTGCTCCTTTGCGGCAGTGTAAGCCTCGGAGCTTCTATGGCAGTGGGCAGCTCAACACCATCTTTGTCTTCATTGTGTCAAGCCCAGCCTTGTTTTGGGAATAACCAGAAAAGTATTTTCCACATTTTTTTGGTTTTGCAAGTCAGTCCATAAAGTAATTAATTCTGGGTAAGAACATATCTTCCCCATTAACATTTGGAAGCAACCTTTTCACCACTTGACTGGCCCCCATGACTACACCTTGCATGGGCCCTGGACCTTCTCTGCTGCCCCTGTGATCAGGTGCTCCCAGGTCTTCCCTGGCCAGTCCTCTGAGTCAACCAGGGGACTTTCAGGAATTTAGGTTAAGAAACTGGCCAGTGTTTCCTTTGCCCCAGGCACTATTTACATAGCATTAAACTGTTTGAAATGTCCATTTGTTTAAACAGCAGGCACCTGAGGGTATTTTTTTATTTGATCTCATTAATATTTTCCTTCTTTGATTCTAGACCCCAGGAACATTTTTTAAATTAGGAAAGTGGAAAGAGAAATACAAGACAAGAAGGAAACTTACAAAGTGACAGGGCTCTGTAAAGACAGTATAGTAAGACCATTTTGAATTGTAGGTGTTTCAGGTAATAATCTTCGGGGTTATATGTTCATCACTTCAATTAGTCTCTAGTACACTGAATATTTATGGTAGAAAACAAAGAACATTCATGAACTGAACAGAAAATTCAAATTCTTAAATCAGCTGTGTTACGCTAAAACAAGTTGTGAGGGGGATTTTATTAATTGCAAAGGCTAGATTGAATGGGCTTCAGAACCTTCTTTTGAAATTAGCCTGTCATTCACGCTCCACAGTTACATGCTTATATTGCATTTTCAGTGGTATCATCACTCATTCTCCTGGTAACTCCAGAAGGCTTAAAAATCTCATGAACATTTGGAAGCATCTTTCCCCTGGAACCCATAAACCAGAAAGATTAAATCTCTTACTGTAAGGAAATAAACATACCCCTAAATCTTGCTACAGTGAAGACAAAAATCATTTTTGTTTTCCTCTGTCTGGGGGTAGACACTGCTGGGGAAATTATTTGTGTAACAATTCCTCTACCGGTGTCCCCTCCTAGCTGGAGCCAACCCGGCAGAAGCCAATATGCATTTAAATAGTTATTTGCAAAGCAAAAGGCTCTTCTATCCCCCCCCTTCCCCACACTTTAGCTTTCAAAATACAAGTCAAGTACATCAGTAGCCTTTGCCTGAAGATCCCTGGGGCTCCAGCCCAGTAGGTCACCACTGCCAGCCTTTGCATCAGGGCTCAGCCGTGGGGAACCAGAGGGAAGGGGCTCACGGGATCCAAGTGGAGTCTGTGCCGTCTGTTGTTTGCACTGTTCTGTGTCCTGCTCCTGCCAGGTGCTGAGACCTCAGCAAGGAGGCTAAGGAAGGGCCCTGTGCTTTCCTACCTGTTCTTCAGAAAAAGGAGGCTTAGCTTTGAGCAGAGTGCCAGAATACCAAAAGGTTGCAGCACCTGCCCCCCCCCCCCACCATGTGTGAAGTCCTGAGAGCATCTAAGCCTTTTCAGTGGATCCGATTTGACCCTTTCCTGGTGCAACTTCCTGCCCATGCTTGGTGTATCACCACTGGGATGCTATCTCCTTCCCCTGCTATCCCCTTCCCCAGGGTGCCATGCCCTTGGGCACAAAATGAGAATTATGCGTGACAGGGGCCCTGATCCCTCTATACATCTCCTCAGACCACTTCTGAAGAAGAGCCTTCCTGGGAAATGTTCCCTAGAAACCTCCAAGTCCCCCAAGCAAATCACTGACCTTACTAAGTGGAAAAAAGCCACATAGGGAATTTGTTCTGCCTCCTTGCTGCGTTCTCAGTCTCTGAGCAGTGATGGGTTCAGTGTTAAGTGTGATAAATACTGTATTTTGTATTGTTTAATTTGCATCTCCCAGATAATGTGAAATGGTCCAGGAGAAGGCAGCTTCCTCTATGCAGTGTGCTTTTTTTTTTTTTTAATAAGTAACAACTCCTTTTGAGAAACAATTTCTACTTTGAAGTCATATCAATGAAAAGATGTATATGCACTTACAGTTTTCCTAATAAAGACTTGTATTCAAATGTAGCAGCTGATTTCTTGAAGTTAGTGTTACCTTTTGAAATTTTCCAGACTTGTTTACTTCCCTCAAGCCTAACTCACAAAGGTCCAGAAATCCTAGCTGTGATGGTTAGGGGAACACAGGCCACTTTAATCACACTAATCACAAGCAAGAATTCTAGGGGTAAACTTGGTCTCCTACCCAGCTGATCCTTAGAAGGGGAAAGGCATTCTCTTTTCCCAATGTC